GGGTCTGGGTTACAATGTTTGCCTCTCATTTAATAGGTTTGAAACAGGACAGGGACATACATTTTTCTTGTCTAAAGTTTTCTCTTTTCACCTCCCAGCTCTATGTTCTGTCGTCTGTTTTCCTCCTCACTTTCTGCCCCCCTCCCCCCAACACACCCCTTTTGCCTCCTCCTCTGGGGCTCCTGGCTCTTTCTGCAGCCTTTAACTACAACTACTGCCACTCATTGGCTCCTTTCTGACTGCTGTCTTTCAGTCACCTGATCTTATACACCTAGCCTTCTCGGATAAGGGCGAAAAATCTCGGAGGTCTCGTGTGTAAGTTGCCCAAGTTAAGGATCCCTTGGTATTCTTAAAATCAAAAGAGTAGGCTAGGCTTTGCATGGCCCCCCACCTGGGCAAAATTAAAAATTCCTACCAAACTGAAGAAGTTTAGTGTGCCCCGCCTGTTCATATGAGACCTATGCTGTCGCAGGCGCTGTAAAGTAAAGCGCTTACCCCCCCCCCCAAAAAAAAAAAAAGAAAAAGAAAAAGAAAAAACGCTTTAAAAAAGTGTTTCAAGTGATCTGAAAGTGAAAGAATTTTTTGGGATCACCCAGTATTGATTTCCCCTTTAATTCTTCATTAGTGTGAGGGCATTGAAAATTCACTGATAAGTTCCATAAATTTTAAAAAGTTAAAATTTACATTATCATCGCCTTCACACACACACACACACACACACACATACACACACACACACACATACACACACTCACACACACGCACTCACACACACACACACACTCTCACACTGTAGACCTGGAGAATGCATACGTAGGCTATGTACCGTACCGTGGCGCTTCGACTCCTCCTCTGCGGAACTGACTAGATAGAGCAGTGAAACATATTTAGTATTTAATTCTTTTTAAAATTGAAGCTTCTCATCAGAATTAAACCAATCCAAATATGCCAGGAAAGATTCAAATTTATTGTATGAAAACTAGACTGTATCCTAGATTAGAGTAGTCCACCTAAGAAAAGGCACTTGTTTTCAAATGCCTTCTGTCTTAATTATTATCTTTTTAATTTTTTAAATTTAATTATTTTATTTATTTATTTGTTTATTTATTTATTTATCAGTTGCGAGCGCCGTAAAACCTCTACTAAAACTAAAATAAACCTTTTTTTAGGGGGGGGGGGGGTTAGATGTGGGATGAATGTCATTTAACTATCCAAAAAAGATTTTATTAATTTTAAAATCTCCAGTAGATGTACTCATTCAAAACCGTTAATCAATCAAGCACTTTTCTCTTTTATGAAATGAAACTAAAGGAGTAGACCTAGATCTAAATCTATATTCTATGTAGATCTATGAATTTTGCAACATTTAACTGCACACGTGAGAGTATGGGCCACCACAGTGTATTATTTATTGTGAGCACCGGTCTATAGTATAGGCCTACCTGTAAAACTCTGTGTTACAATCTAAGTTTTTCGCACTCCTACCAAAAAATAATGATATATTTCTGATGTAAAAAAAATTGTTAAATGGGTAATGAATTATCATCGGAAGGCTGACGTTACTTTGGTTTTCAAGATAGCAAGTCACCTATACGTGTACCATGGAAATGCATTGTCACAATTGTGCGCTGAGCAATTTGAACTGTACGTAATGCCTTTGGAAATTTGCATATTGAACAATTCTAGTGCTGATTGCTGTGCCCATGTGGTTTACTGTTCCAAACCCTCCAAAATAAATAATTATTGTTCCCTTCAGGCCAGTTCCAAAGGATACAGGTTCTGTCCATGACAAAAGATCAAGTGTCTGCAATGTGATGTGAGAGTTTTGAAGAAAAAATTAAAAGCGAAAAAAACAAAACCTTGGCATCTAAGAAGACAATGTCCTGCTGTAATAGATCTACTACGGAATACATGTAACAAAATTAAAGAGGCAAAGAAATTACAAAGCTTACTTAATGAAGTAAGGAAGTGCTAGCTTGACCCTGTCCGGACCACCCTTGAAGTTTGTAATGTCCCAAATTTATGTGCCTGACAGAGAAGTATGGACATAAGAATCAGCAAGAGACAATGCATAAGGCAAAGCAGTCTAAGATTAGTAAGAAAGACTGT